ATCACCTACTTGAAAGTACGCACAATGTTCACATTTGGAAATATACCCGGTTATTATTTCCTAAATATTCTCTCTTCAAGATCAGCGAAAGTACGGAATTCGTCTGTTTTTTCTATTTTCGATAGTTGAACGTGAATCCCATCTTCGATCATATATTTTCCCAAAGTTCTTTCATTCATATATCTCTCGGTGTTATTTGGCTTTTTAATATTTCTTACCTAATTTAATATTAATTGACAAATGTTATCATTTTCCTAAAAATAACTGGAAAAGAAAACGTTTTCTCAAAAGCCCCATTGTTGACTTTAAAATTTTTTCTATGTTGATACTAGAAGACATGGGTAATATTGTAAGAAAAATTTCCTCCTCCTTTTGCCTAAATTGGTAGTTGTTAATTTGTTAACATACACTATTTTATACGATGTTAAGAAGAAAAAATGGTCACGCAGTAACGATTAATTTTTAGCTGTATGTATACAGCGTTCGAAATAATAGTGTCATGTGGTGATGAAATTGACTGTGATGTTAACACCCTGGACCAATGGAATTATCAAATAGCGTAGCATGTGAAATATGCTTTGGCATGGTTTTCAAATGAAAATGATAATTTGCATATTCGGCCTTGCAAACCGAAGTATATGGTCTATATATCTATAGTAGCGAATTTATTTGCCCTTCGGGTAAACAAACGCGCCTTCGGTGCTGTTCGCTTCATAAAATATTAATAATAATACATTCCAAGCATCCCTTTTAGATTCTCATAACTACAAATTGGGTAAAACTCTTTATATCATTAGGATTTTTTATCGTGAGTTTAAGCTACTCCTGCTTATGTGAGGTGATTTTCAATCTGATGTTACGAATTCGAATCAAGCAGAGATTCTTCATAGCCCCGGAATTGTAACATTATAGTTTATCCTCAATACAGCGCCTTATTTAGCAAGACTGTAATAACCATCTTTCTCTGAGCAAAATAGTGCGAGTTTACTCATTCTTCCCCTTAAGCTAATAACTTCAAGTTCGGCTGTCAAAATATCGCATCACAACAGGTATTGGTGTGCCAAGCATCACCATTTCTTTCTGCCCAATTTGGCAGGACAAAAAAAATTATTGAAAAACGTCACCAAAGAAAAATATGAACCATGCATGCATCAACAACTTACCATTTTTCCTGAACTTGGAGACTCAGTAGGTACGCCCATGTCACGTTTTAGCATTCCATGTTTATCCGTTTGAAGCAAAAAAATTTTTTGAAAACATCTACCCCTGGAATTTGTGCCCCCAGGGCATTTACCTCCAAAGTCTGATTTTTTTATGAATTCAGGTCCCCATTAGGTACATATGTATCAAGTTTCACCTTTTTATCTTGAGCCAATTCCATGGGACAAAAAAGTTATTGAAAAACGTCATCCCCCAAAAGTGTGCCCCAGGGCTTGCATCTGAAACTCATGACTGACTGGTCAATCAGTCATGATCGTCTGTGTGACTTAGCGACTGAGTTACTGACCCTAATTCAAACCATGTTCTAGAGAAGTTGGAAATCTGATACTTGGTGCACATGTACCTTTTTGGGATGCAGAGTTCAGAAAATATCCGATTTTGGAGGTACATGCCCTGGGAGACCCACTTTGGGGGGAGATGTTTTCAATGATATATATCTTGCTTTTGTCGTAAGGAGAGACAGAAAGCTGAAACTTGGCATGGATGTGCCTACTGAGACAGTTCAGGAAAACTATCAAGTTTCAGATGCATGCCCTAGGGGCATATTTCTTGTGTTCCTGTTTTCAAAAAAATTTTTGTCCCAGCGAATTCGGCAGAGATAGAAAAGGTAAGTAAAGGAAAGATAGAAGGGGATACATAAGCATCTATTGGGATGCTGAGTTCAGAAAAATTCAAACTTTGGAGGTAAATGCCCCAGGGGCACAAGAATCACGACAAAATGTTTTGGAATATTTTTTGCTTCAGTCAAATGGATTAACATGGAAAGTTTACACGTGACATGGACGTGCGTACTGGGACTCTGCATTCAGGAAAAATGTCAATTTTTGGATGAATGCCTTGGGGGCATATTTTGTTTCGTAACTTTTTCAAATAATTTTTTTTTCGTCTTACCGATTTGGGGTGAAATAGAAAGGTGAAACTTGGCACACCAGTACCTGAGGTGATGTTGAATTCATAAAAACTTCAAGGTCTGAGGTGCATACCCTCAGAACATAGTTTTTGGTTGCATTGGGTATTCCAAAGATACGTTTTGCACCAGCAAAAAGAGCAAACGAATAAGGCTGAGGCTTGGTATGTATGTGGTTCCCTGAGTACTGATTTCAGTAAAAAAATATTAATTTTTTAGTAAAACCCCTAAAGGCATATTTTTCGAAAAAAAGTATTTTTCGGAATCCTTTCAGATTCAATGAAAAATAAAATTAAAGAATGTTGAAACTTGGCATAGGAGTACCAGTTCGATTGTTGAGTGTAGATCTTACTTTTTAAATATGGCCCCTCATGGCAGATTATGAAGAGATTTGAAGTTAGACACACAAGAAGCAATCGGAGGAGTTATTTACATGAAATTATCGATTCGTTCTCTCTCGATGCGTATTTTTGCAGGCACATGCTATGAATATGTTTTCGTCTCTTTGAAAAGAAATTAATGAATGAATCACTATATTGGACAATTAAGCGCCGGAGGTGCGACTATTGCGAGTTGATTTGTTTACAAACTCGCAAGTGTCTCTTTATAGACGATCATGACTGAGTGACTGACGTTAAATCTAACCATGTTATAGATGACGTATAAATCTGAAATCTGGTATGCATGTTGCTATGGGATGCAGAATTCAGGGGAAAAATCCAACTCTGTGGATACATGTCCTGCGTCACAAATTTTCTTCAAATTGTGGGTCTTCAGCTGTGTTAGCTGTGACAGCAACTTAGCCACAAAATCCTCTGCCGAGGAAACAACTGTCTCCAGATCAACCCGATCAGTTGACACCCACTGTTTGTAGGTAATTGTGTCCACCATACCTTCTTCAAAGGTGGTCAGCAAGTCGTCTTGCAGGAATTCCATTCCTGCGCAGCTTTTGCATTGCCCCAAAAAGGAACTGGTCCTTGGCAACCTCTAGGATATATACCAAGCATTGAAAAACAAACATGCAGATGTTCAGGTTGGATTTTTAAACTTTGCTGAAGTTAGCCCAAAAGAATGTGTTCTGGTAGGTGGATGTGGTACTCATACCGGGTGCGTATGCACGATACACCAAAATGTCACACTGATGTTACATAGGGGAAGAATTAGGCGAACCTACAAAGTACTGATCTCCAATATTGTCCATCACAAGCCAACAGAAGTCTGCCCTTGAGATGGATGGATGGAATGGATGGAATGCCGGATCATTCAGAAGCTCCGGGTGTGCTGAAGGAATATGTGCTAGGTTTCACGGTTTCCTCACGTTCAACGCTGAGTCTTTATTGAAGTTTTATATTGCAATTGGTGAACAATTTTTGCCCAAGTTTCACGCTAATCCGAATCTTCAGCGCATCCTTACAAAGAGTGGTTGTCACAGTGTATTTGAGGCTTCTCTTTGCAGCCTTCTTGTGACACTTGAAGAGATCTGAGCACTTGAACTAATTTCGTTCATGAAATTGGGGGCATTTCCTGCTATGGTATTTGCCCAATATTTCAATGTCATCAGCACGACGCATCGTGCGCATTTTCACCAATTCTTTGTCACTGACAACGGGTGGAATGAGTGACTGAGTGACTGACGCTCATTCTATCCATGTTCTATTAGATATGATGGAAGGATGAAACTTAGTGCGTTAGTACCATAGGTACTAACGCACTAACTAGTGGAATGCTCAGTTCAGAAAAATTCCGACTTTGGAGGTAAATGCCCTGGGAGCACACCTATTGGGTGAAAATCCGTTGAAATAATTTTTTTGCTGTTATCAAACGATGAGACATGGAAAGTTGAAACTTGGCATGAACGTGACTACTGGCACACTGAATTCCTGGAAAATGTCACGTTTCCATTTCATCCCCTGGATACATTTTTTGGGGGCGACGTTTTCAAGGAAATTTTTCTTTGCCGAAGAAAATAGGAAACGGAAAAGTTAAACTCCACACACGAAACTGACGTGGTGTTGAGTTCAGAAAAGATTCAACTTTCCTGGTGCATTCCCTAAGGGCCCACAATTTCAGTGGGTTGTCTTTCCAAAGATATTTTTGGCACCAACAAAAAGCGCAATGTATAAGGGTGAAACTTGTTGGGTACGGAGTTCCTTGAGTACCAATTTAAGTAAATATATTGTTTCTTTTTCTTTAAGGTAAAACCTCTCAGGGCACATATTTCCTGAGAGGCGCATTTTCCAAGATCTTTTTCAATTACATAAACAGTGAGTGATAGAAAGTTGAAACTTGGCTTAGAAGTATCTATGCAACTGCTGAATGCAGAAAAAATCATCCTTTTGAAATGAATCTCCTCTTAGCCAGTTATGTGACGGAAGTTTTTCAATATATATTTTCCGCTCAGACAGCAAAAGGGGCGCACACATGAATTTGAAATTGGGCACAAAATAAATTATTACAGTAATGACTTTGATAATAATAAAAAAGTCTCGATTAAGTCCTCTCATGGCCCATATTTTGACACGGACGTGGTTTGAATGAGTTTTTGCCACTTCGAAAATGAATTAATGAGTTAGTCACCATCTTCTATAATGGAGCGCCGGAGACATGAGCATAGCGAAGGGCAAACAAATTCGCTAGTGGAAAGTAAAAATTCTTGAGGCACACAGAAAGGGCCAGGAAAAGTTTATTTTTCTAGAAAATTAACCTGGGATGAGGCGAAACGGCACCATCGAAAGTCATTGTTTCCGCCATCTTATCACTGCTTCGAAGAATACTAGAATTCACGTTGTCCAAAACGAGTACATGAGATCGAAGTCGCCGTCGATCGAGCGCAATCATCAGAAGAATTGCATTTCCTCCTCTCTGCTCGCAGGGAATTCCGGCTGAAAGGGTACCGCAAGGTGTCAGAAATCCCCGAAGAAATCTTCGGCTACGTTTCCTTCCGGAGGATATTCGTGGAGACGACCGACGTGGTCTTCGTCGACCAATCGGCCTTCTTGTCGTGCAGGGACGACCTGGCGCATCTGAGTTTCTGGTACGGCCACCTGGAAAGGTTCCCCTGGCAATCGCTGCCCCAGTTCGTCTCGCTTGCGATCCTCAACCTCGAGTTCAACGAGATTACTGCGATCGACAGCTTCGAAAGCCCCAGCCTTGTAACGCTCCGCGTCTCAAACAATCGGATAGCCACGCTCAAGACTGGGATATCTGCGCCCAACTTGAACGCTCTAATCATGAGTAAGTATCGAGTGCGATCGGAGAGTGAGGGGTCCGTTCACTTAAAACCATTCCGCAGTTCTATACAGTCTTGCATCCATAAATTTGTTCTTCGGGGTGAAAACGGGAAAAGTGGGAGTCAGACTCTCATTAAATTTTGATCATGCTTCCTCACAGATATCGAAGTGCAAGATCAGCATTTTTCTAATTTATTTTTCAATCACAGTCGTGTTTGTCTGAGTCCTTTGTGTCTCCCTGTCCGTCTTCATCTTCACAACAGGACACGGGAGACAAGTTGCTGTTTCGCAATACGCACCAACTCTTCTTCTGGTATCTGTCCAACAAATTCTGGGAAACTTCTTTATTCATCACCATTATACTGTCACTTTTCAACATACCACCCACTTCAAAAGTGATTTGGGAAGTCTGATTTTCTTTCCCAACTCCTTTTTTATTTTTCATTTCACAAATAACTGGACAGTAGTAATCAAAGAACCTCAATATAGTCGACAACTTCGGAATGTGGGCTAACCACAGACCAAAGAAAAACGCGATATTACATACAGATTAAAAGTTATTAACTCTCAAAATAACGTCACACGTTCCAAAATAGTTCCGGCATCGGCACTATTACTTCGCGACTTCACCCCTTCACGTGACTAGGGCTTCCAATCGGTCAGGCATACTGGAGACGAGATGGGCACATTGGCCTGAAGTGATGGCGCCCCAAAATTCTCGGTTGCTCGTAATCCCTCGTTGGTTCTTAGTTGTCGCTTTCTGATGCCGGACAAAATTACCCGGATAATCTCGATCGGCGACATATCTGAACTGCTGGCTGGCCATGGTAGCACCTCCATCTGTTGATTTTCGAACCATTGGCGAACTGTCTTGCTGGTATGACATCAGAGCGTTGTTCTTCCACTATGGCATCATGGCGTTCTCCCAGATTTCCATGCATTCCTTGCTCTCAACTTTCCCATCGATGAACCTTCACCAACCTCTCGACCGAGCTACCGAGCTCGCCGACCCCTTTCCTGCTCGTGCATCCCAACATTATCAAGCTGTCAGGGAATGAAACCATCGGGATGAAAAGCCTTCTCCTCCATAAGAAAACTCTCTTCTGGTGATCCCCGAGGCAAATTGAGGAATCGTCGCTCCATTCCACTTGACTGCAAACAACCAATGGCCATTTCCTGAACTCTGACCCATTCGAATCGCTTCTTCTTAAGGTTTGATGTTAACTGTGGCTGTACTTAACCTTGGAAGATGAGCAGCCCATCTTAGGCGTCGGTGACAGTAATTCAGTCAATTCCCATTGATTGAATTCCACTCCAGGCCCAATTCTAGAGGAGTTGCATGTCTCCTCTTTGACTTGGCATGCTTAAAGAGGGATTTATTTTGGCTAGCCTGAACGGACCATCGTCATACAACTGGCTTTGAGCAAAAGTACAGCGCACGATATTATCGTTCATTGCAGGAAACTGGCAAGTGGAGACTGAACAAATCTTCTAGACGCCCAAAGAAGACCTCTGTCAGAAATAAAAACGTCCCTGCCAACATCTACCGCCGCCGCCTGATAGGAATGGGCCGCTCATCTTGCAAGGCAAAAGTGAAGCCACACTTAACGTCAAACCTGAAGAAGAAGGGTCGAAGAGTTCAAATGGGTCAAAGAGTTCAAGAAATGGCCATTGGCTGTTGGCAATCAAGTGGTATGGAGCGACGATTCCAGGTTCATCATCTACCTCGGAGATCGCCGCAAGAGAGTTCCCTTATGGAGGATGGAATTTTTCATCCCAATGGTATCATTTCCTGACAGCTTGATAGCATAGGGTTGCACGAGCAAAAAAAAACAACTGTTGGAACGGTTGACAGCAAGAAATGCAGCGAAGCCTGGGAGAACGCCATGATTCCATTGGTGGAAGAACTACACCCTGATGTCATACCAGCAAGACAACTCGTCAGTGGTTCGAAAATCAACAGATGGAGGTGCTACCATGGCCAGCCAGCAGTCCAGATATGTCGCCGATCGAGATTATCCGGGTAATTTTGTCTGGCATCAGAAAGCGACTACTAAGAACCAACGAGGGATTACGAGCAACCCAGCAGGAATTTTTGGGCGCCATCACTTCAGGCCAATGCGCCCATCTCGTCTCCAGTATGCCTGACCGATTGGAAGCCCTAGTCACGTAAAGGGGTGAAGTCACGAAGTATTAGTGCCGATACATTTTGGAACGTGTGACGTGGTGCCCGAACTATTTTGGAACGTGTGACGTTATTTTGAGAGTAAATAACTTTTCATGTGTACGTAACACCACTATTTTATTTGGTCTGCAGTTAGCCCACATATGGAAGTTGTCGACCACATTGAGGTTCTTTGATTATTACTGTCCAGTTATTTGTGAAATGAAAAATAAAAAAAGATTTGGGAGAGAAAATCAGCCTGCCAGAATCATTGGATGTGGATAGTAGTCCCCCTGAGTTCGACGCACTTCCTCCAGTTTGTAATCAGTCTCCTTAGACCGTCATAAAAAATATTTGGGAGTGTTCCTGATCTACCTGTTTCGTGCGGCTTTCATCGCATCGAGGGAATTAAAGCGCATTCCTCGCAGAGGCTTCTTCATCCCGCCGGGGAGGTGGTAGTCACTACCCAAGTAACACAAGATATTCCAGCAACGTTTAGGAAATGTTGATGAACAATGTTGCATCTATGTGTAAATGTCCAAAACGTCAACGTTACTCAAATGTTGCGAAGGAACATTCCATTTACGTTGCTAATCGCTACTTATTCATTACATATACGTTGCAGATACGTTTCAGGATTTATGTTGCTGCAATGTTGATTAAAAACGTTGCTTCACGGGCACCTAATCTGGGCCTATATTGGCATTACGGAAAAGCGTAGGCTTCACTGGTCCTGAACTGGACCGATATTCCACCAATATTGAATTATTTATTTCATCCTTTCGTACCATATACNTAGAAGTGTCGCAGCAACATTCCAAGTGAAAACATTGAAGCAATGTTTTCTCAATGTTGTACAGCAACTTGCAACATAGAGCAACATAGGCAACATTTCAAAAACGTTTCATCAACATGCTGTGTTACTTGGGTAGGAGCCAGATCTGGCGAGTAGGGCGGATGCGGGAGCAATTCATTTCTCAATTCTGCTATTGCTGCTTTAGTTAACCCTAGAAGTGCTAGAAGCCGCACGATGGCTACCAACATCGAATTTATCGACGGTTGGCTCTTCGAGAGTTTAGCTTGCAGTGTGGTGCCTTTCATCTTCCTACTGAAGAAGTGCAAGTGAATGCAACATATCAATACCATGGCGTTTTTCAATACAAGCCGGTCGGAGACGACCCAAAAGCAGATCAGAGTAATTTTCTGCTTTCATTGTGGCACTTCTTTGTAGGTAGACGATCGTTATTATCCTTTTGCGATCCCAGAAAACCTTTATCAAAGAGGGAACAGTTCGAGCCTTGAAAGTAGGTCCTTCTTCAGACCGGCGCCACTCGTGTGATTGCGATTTGGTCCCGGAATCGACGTAGGGAAGCCACGTCTCATCTACAGTGATGATACTGTCGAAAAAACTCTCCTCGGATTCTTCGTTAAGTCGCAGCAGCTCTCGTCACGCTTCCATTCGATCGAACTTTTGTTCAAGCCCTAACAAGCGAGGCACTCATCTGCAGAAACCTTCGCCACATGGAGATGTTCATCGAGAATCTCATGAAACTTGCCGGTGCTGACCCCCAGGGTAGTAGCAAGCTCTCGAACGGTAACCAGTCGATCTTTCGTAAGAATGCTTTCCGCAGCGTGAATTTTTTCATCGGTGGTGGCTTACGAGGGCGACAGCTGCGAGGGTCGTCTTCTAAGGTCTGCCGACCATCCTTAAACCGCTCCAGTCATCGGTAAACAGTACTTTTCGATTCTGCAGATTCTCCAAATACAGCCTGAAGCCTCTGCAGGATCAGAACCGTGTGCACCTTCTCTCCACAAAAAAATGATCGCTCGCTCAGCTTCCATGGCTTCGAAAACTATAACTGAACTAAGACGAGTAACTCTGCTCAGGAGATTATTCGGGAAAAAAATACTGAATTCCATTCTAAACAAGGTAAGCCTTAATCCAAAACTTTTGATCAGAATAGGTTAAGTTCCATTTCGTTTTGTACATTGACGGAATTCACAGAACTTTCTGAACGTCCCTCGTACATCATTACAGTTAGGAAAAACTCGACCGATAGGGATGAAATGAGTTGCTCTTCCTTCTAAAGCATTCGTTAGACTTGAGAGAAATTTTCTTTCACGATCAGTAAAGCGATCACGAACGCCTCTAAAATTTAGGCGTTCGTGATATTCAGCTGTGATATTTTCTCTGCAACGGAAGCCATACGTGGCTTCTTCAACGGAACTCCTACCAACTACACAGCCGAAACGACCATGATGAAGACGATCGCCTCGAGAGATGAAAGTTAGAGTAGGGGCGGCTGTAATTGGGAAGGGAAATAATGGTTCCAATGGGATTAACAGTCAGTCATGACATTGGAAACCAGACCTTATCTTTGCAGAGCTTCCTTTGCTTGGAGGTAGAGGCGGTTAAGCGTAGGTGCGCTAGTTATTTGCGCTTTATTCACAATTTTTCCTCGATTGTATTTCCTTTCCCTTTCAAAATGTGGACTTGCATCCACCGGGCCTTAAGGGTAGGAGAGTCGTAGGGGGATGAGAGATGCACGTTTCGTGTGTTCGCGCGAGGATGGTTCAACTGGAATTCCATTTCGTGAAACGCAGATAATAATCCCATCTCGACGATCCCCTCCCGGTTCTTCGAGGGGATGGAGAACTTGGAGGAATTCCAGTGCCAGTGGTGCAACCTGGGACCGGCCATTTCGGACGGGTCTATGGAATTCCGCAGCCAAACCTTGAAGTCCGTGTACCTCCGCAACAACATCATCTCCAGCTTCGAACCAGGCGGCATAAGTGGTATGATATTTCCTTCAAAATCGAGTGCGCTCCGACATCATTATTCTTGTTTGTCTTACGACTCACCTCAGCTACCCAAGCCATCCTAAATGAGGGGATGTTGGCAGCGCACGACCTTTCGTGTCTTCCACGAAGAACGGCTTTCGATTTTTCATGCCAGTGGACGAATACTAATACGCTCATGTGATTTCAGTTGTCTCCCCCGACGCGGTCGTCGATCTTGAAGCCAACCAAATCACGGAATTAACGGAATCGATCTTTCGCCCAGTGATGGATTTCCTCGCACGAGGAAACGGATTACTCAATGTCTGGGGTGAGTACCTTTGTTTTTCCACTATATTCCAAGTTCCCCTCCAATCCTTTCATATGCCCTAGCTCTTATGTTCCCCATATATTTCAGATAATCCAATCGTGTGCGGTTGCAGCATGGCCTGGGTAATGCTCGACCCAATCATTTTGGAAAGAGTTTACGGTTCTTGCGTGAACGGAACTCTTTTTCAAGAACTGGATCCGCACCATTTTGAAGCATTTTGTTGAAAAAGAGGTATCCTCCCATGACAGACGTTGTCTCCCCTTGAAAACACGTGATCATTCTCAAAAGATGCACGTCTAACCCCATAAGTCCAAGAGAGTCTGATTTCCAATGAAACGATGGAAAGTGTGAACTGCAAATCTAGTTTTATTTCATGAAAAAGAACTGAGGCACTACGTGACTGGAAAAGGCATTCTATCAATAAATTAACGATTTCACTAACGATTTCACTGACATCTGACGACCAAGCGAGAGCGAGCCCTACTATTTTCGCAAGCAATAATTGTCACATCCTTAAATTGTATCCTTCAGCATTGATAGGGTGACTTGGGGGAATATGTCCATTGGAATAATATTGCCCCAAACAATGTTCCTTAGAACATCTTGAAGAATAACTTTGGATGGAATTTAAAAATAGGATAATTGAAGAGCACATATAAAAACTTACCCTTTTCTTCAATGCAATGCTCATGGGAACGCTGGATGCATCCACATTTATAAAGTGGGTCGCATGAATTTGCTCAACTGATGATACAGAAATTAATGCGTACCTTGAACCATTTAAGCGCGTATTTCGATTTCTAACGATTTCTAACCAGCTTTCATATGATCTCTCCCTTGTGTTCGATCAACTAGCCACTTCACTTGAAATTGGCAGGCAGTGTTTTCAAATGTATCATACAGGCCAACATGGGGCAATATGGTCACTGAGATTAGGGGTAATATGGATACTACTGTGATTTCATGTAGATACTGTTTTGCCTCGTGACAATGTACGTGTGAAGGGGCCGAATCTGCCCTTGAAACGAAGTTCATGTGTCTTAACTCCCTTCCACCCCTCCAACACCCCCCCCTTCCGCTTTGCACTAGCATCCACCTAGTATAACTAGTGGCAGGTAAACCTGACGTCCCTGGGAACGTTTTACTGACTGCATAAATGTTTAAATGTTAAAAATTCAAAGCAATGAATTTTTAACAGTAGAATTTATGTATCTATAACTCATGAATTGAACTGTATAAACGGTGCAATTTATGAGTTTCCTGAACTACATGAATTTGATATTTCCCTGGAAAGGGTTCAATAATGCTTTATTTTTTAGGATTCCTCCGGTATGCAATTAACGTTTTTGATACGTTCTTTTCATCACTTAAATTGCATTCGGTCGAAGTAGAGGCCTACTCACGCGGCTGGGGTTGGATGCCATAATGTGAAACATAAGTAGAATTGAAGATGCACTCTTACACTGGCTTGGCTGGAATAGTTTGGTACAGAAGCGTGAGGAAATTCAGTCTTACAATAGAAATTTTCATCATATCTGCAAATATTTTAAACTAGGGAGTTTGTTTGCCCTTCGGGCAAACAAACTCGCTATGGTCGCGCCTTCGGCGTTCCATTTCCATGGTTAGTGATTAACTCATTTGTTCCTTGCGAAATTGCAAACACGTATTTAAAATACGTCTCCATTTAAATACGTGACACAAGGGGACGAAAGTCTTGATTTTTTTATTAAAATCATTACTTCTGTTATTTCCAGTATGCCTAACTTGAAATCTTTTCAAGTGTCCCTTTTTGTAGGGGTGGAGAATACATTTTGAAAGACTTCCTTCCTATAGACTACGCTAAGGGGACATATTTCCGTAGGATTTATGTAGGATTTTTCCTGTACTCAGTCATCAAACAGGTACTTCTGAGAGAAGTTTAAATTTTCTGTCATTGTTTCGTTGGATCAAAAAATAATTCAGGAAAAGGGGACTAAAAAAAAGTGCTCTGATAGGTTTAACAAAAATTTTTTTCTTCTGAAAATGTTGACTCAGGGAACTCCATGCCACCCAGTTTCAGCCTTATATATTTCCTCTTTTTCCTGGCGGAAAAAAAATGTATTTGGAAAAGCCACACACCCAAAAGCTGTGCTCTGAGGAGACGCACAACAAAAGTTGAATTTTTATTGAAATCAATATCACATCCGTAATACGTGCGCCGGCTGCTACTTTTCTCTTTCTGCCCGATTCGCTGGGATATGATAAATTCTGTGAAAACGTTACATCCTCAAGAAATATGCCCCCCCCCTAAATATTTTTTTCTCGAAAATTTGACATTTGAGCTCAGTGGGTCAGCAGTCATGTTCTTGCCATGTTTCAGCTTTCCATGTCTCTGTTTGAATGAAGCAAAGAAAACTATTTGAAAATATGTTCCCTGAAAAGGTGTGCCCCTGTGGCATGTATCACCAAAGTGGAATTCTTCCTGAACTCAGCATGTGAATAACTACTCTTGTCAATCAGTCAGCTATTCACGATCGTCTATATACGAGGTATAATAAAATTAGATTTTTTTTTACTTTCCTCAGCTATCCCTCAGATACTTATCTGCCAAGTTTATCCATTCTACCGCCCTCCGTTTTACTGGATCAGAAAATTCAGGAAAATACGTCTTTTGTAAAATATGTGCTCTCAAGCGTTTTACCCGAAAAGTGGCTTTTTTTTTCGGAAATCCATCCTCCATCATACATGCTCACAAAGTTTCAATCTTATACGTTTGCCATTTCGCTGGTGGAAGTTCATGTTTGGAAAAGGCAACGCACCCAAATGCTAGGGAGGGGGTGCACCATGACAGTTGAATACTCCCTCAACTCAATAATATCATGTCACTTATACGTGTGCCAAGTTTCACCTTTCCATTTCTGTTCAATTCGCCACGACCANCTACCTCAACTCAATAATATCATGTCACTTATACGTGTGCCAAGTTTCACCTTTCCATTTCTGTTCAATTCGCCACGACCAAATTTTCTTTTAAACCTCGCCCTCGAAAAAATTCCCCCAGAGGGGAATCAATCGAGGCTTAACAATTTTCTTTAACTCCTTGTATCATTAGTCACATTCATGCTAGTTCCAGCTATCCAAGTTCATCGGTTTAATTGATGCAAAAAAAATTATATGAAAACATTTCCCTTTGAAATTTGTGACACCAGGGCATCAACTTCCATAGTCGGAATTCTTCTGCATGAAGCATCCCAATAGTTAGTTATGTACCAAGTTTCTATTTGAAAATATGTTCCCCCAAATGGTGTGCCTCTATGGCATGTTTCACCAAAGTAGAATTTTTCTTCAACTTAGCCTGTGATTTATGTCGGTCAGCTACTCACGATCATTTATATATAATAAAAGTAGAATTTTTTATTTACTCTGCTATACATCATGTTCTTCTTTGCCAAGTTTAAACTTTCTGGCGCCCTCCGTTTTGCTGGATCAGAAATTAGAGAAAATACTCCCTTTGCAATATATGTGCCTTGAGGTATTTCAACCGAAAACAACTTTTTTTTTTTTTACCGAAATCCATCCTCAGTGAATTACATGCCCACAAAGTTTCAAAATTATACGTTTGCCCTTTTCGCTGGTGGAAAAACATGTTTGGAAAAGCCTACGCACCCAAAAGCTATGCCCGGAGGGAGTGCACCATGAAAGCTGAATACTCCTTCAACTCAATGACACAATGTCACTTATACGTGTGCCAAGTTTCACCTTTCCATTTATATATTTCCACATTTTTCTTTACCTTAGTAGTCACATTCATGCAAAGTTTCAGCTTTCCATGTTCATCAGTACCTTGTCTTAGTAGTCACATTCATGCAAAGTTTCAGCTTTTCATGTTCATCAGTTTAACTGATGCAAAAAAATTAGTTGAAAACATCTCCCTTTGAAATTTGTCACCCCGGGCATTTACTTCCAAAGTCTAAATTTTCTGCACGCAGCATCCCAATAGGTAGTTATGTACCTAGTTGTATCTTTTCAGACCAGCTCAAGACGCCCCGAAAAATATGCCCCCACAGGGCATGGATCTAACATTTTACATTTTTCCCGAACTCATCGTCTCAGTAGGCATGTCTGTGCCAGATTTCCGTTATGACCCGGGCCTCTCTCCCGGGGAATTATCCTCCCTCTATCACTCGAGCCTGAGTTCTTTGGAGACTCATTGGATTGGACTATCTCCAATGACAGATTTGTTCAAGAACTTGAGTACCTTCGGCTCTGGTTTATGTAGAGAAAAAATCGGCTACATTGTGGAAAGTGACTGGGACTATTTTCCCAAATATTTCAGGAATTGACCCGTTATAGCGACAACTTTGACGCCATCTAGCTTCGGTTGTACGATTCTTTTCTCTTTCAGTCGATGTCAGATCGATACCAATGATATGCCTGAGGAAAGTATCATAAACGTTCGACGAATGTCCAATTGCAGAAGGTTTCGTGACTAAAAGGTACCTTAACAGAGCGCCAATAAGGTACTCATTCCGGTACACTGGACGTCCAAAGACCTCCGTGATAACATGTTGAACGTCCTCAAAAGCGTTTATGTGCTACTTGGGCAATGTCAACTACTGTATATGATAAAATCTACCGTGGTCCGTGGTGGTGGTGGTGGTGGTGGTCGTGGTCGTGGTCGGTGGTTCGTAGCATGCGCGCGCACACTTGACAGACGCGTTCGCTCATCTCGATCGCGTGTGCTCTCCCCATAGGGTCATCTGTGTGTACGTCTCCCTCTCTCGGGCTCGTATTTTTTTTCCGGCTGTTGCGACTGTCGGATCTATTCTGAAGAACGCTCGGGAGATGGGGGAAGAGTTCGGATGACATAAGAGGACGAAAAGAAAATTATGAAATTGAATCCAGGGCCTTCAGATTGTGGGTCGAGTAAGCTTTAGAGTTGAAAGCTAGCTTTAAACCACCGGACCCATGACTTTCAGTCGCACCCCTCCATACCATCCCTTACATAACAACGGGAGAGAGAGGCATTCTACACACACCTCCCGCTCTCTACTTTGAGGGGTATGATACGGACTTTTCCGTAGGGACGTGTAAAACGTTCTCGTGTACTTACACTTGGAGTCCTCTTTAATCTCTGGAGGAAGGATGGATTCCTCGCCGGTATGAGAACCCCGCCCATATATTTATCGGGATCCCGACCCTCTATCGATCGAAACCCCATACTCGTATTCGTCACAAGGCGAGTGACTCCCGAGGGTGAAAACGGCGGGATCCCATCTGTATGGCACAGAAGCGCTCACTATTGGATCGACGACGACGTCGGCGGCGTCGTAACTGTCCCGTTTCTTTATCTCCTATTTCTCGAGAGGGCCTTAAG